TCCCGATTCGGCCGGGCAATTTTTTACACTTTCTAAACGCGGACGCGCGATTTCCTGAACGCGGAGGAATTTCGTGATTAAACCCACCGTGGGTTTTTGTTATCGTTACCGTTGGCAATAATGCTCGTTCGCGCGTAGAATATTGCCTCATCATGGCGACTTCGTCTTAAATGAACGACCGGCCCTGTTTTCTGGCCGATGACGATTCATCCGCTTCGCCAATCGAGCCTCAACGTTTCCTGAAGCGCTCCACCTGTTAACAGGAAATGAACTTTCGATTTCTGTTGCGCCAAACCCGCCGTTTATGATGTCTCGAATGAACTGCTTTACGCTGACGATTCAACCGGAAATGCACTTTCGACGCCTTTTCCGCAACTAAAGGCGCGGTTAATGATATCCAAAATCAATCTACTTCATTTCGCCAGTCATTGTGATTTATTGCGCGCAATTAAAGTGATTTGCTGAATGATTGGGTGTTAACTAATGTGTTAAGGGATTAAGGATTGTATGGATTACGTTTCTTGAAGTGTATTCGTACACTGAAAAAAAAATTCATTGATCCAAGAAATACTTTGTTCATTCAAAGAATAATTATATGATCCATGTGAACTGAAATTATAATATATAATGCATCCAATTTATTCGGGTTTATTTCAGTCAGATAATTTTTCTTTGAATTAACAAAATATTTCTTTCGTTCAATGACACTTTTTCCGGCCGGGAATGATATGAATATTCTAAGTCGATTAGTACAAGTGAATCGACTCGTCGAATTATTGCGATGCGTTGAAAATTACGTGATATTCATTTATTACGTTCTTGATAATTCATCATTTTTATCTGATTTTTCAGTTTTAATTAGGCAGTTTTGGAGTAATTGTAACTGTATTACGGAAATTGGTATTAATAAGGAAGTATTTTATAAATCAAGAACTATATTAAGGCTCTCATCGTTTATTTATAGAATGCCCTGCCTTAAATCAAGTGATTTATCGAATTATATAAAACATGTAATATCAAAATTTCATCCTTCATAATTGATACATTTCTTAGACTCGTAAAAATTAACCATTGCATAAGATTAATAAATTATCCTTAATAATCATTTCTTCGTGTTCTTTATTTTATTTTTTTATCGCGCAGCCCTAAAGAATTCCTCTAAGTGCCATTGTAATTGTATAACGCCGTTTAATGTTAACCGTGGAGTAAAATGACTGCCCCAAATTCCATTTAGGCATTTGCCAATTGATCGTGAATTCCAGATTCTTATTCATTAGCGGGGAACTGCTCTAAGCCGAAGAATCCTTCAAACGGTAATTTGCAACAAATCGCGAATCATCGGTAAACGATGAAAATCCAATCGTCATCGTTCAGCATCCTGCTATCCGACGTCATCCATAACAATGACTCAGGAAAACGCTGTCTCGCTTAATAGTCGCAAACGGATGACAATTGTGTCACTGAACATTAAATGGGTTCAGAAATAAATCGCGCCATTTTGCTATATTGCATGGTAATAAATTAGTGAAATCATTGGAAATATAGAAAAAATATTCCGCACGATTCCCAATTAACTCGTGATCGTAGTGTGCGTTTTTTTGACAGGGTTATTCAATTTATGACAACGAGATAAAATTTATACAGTAAAATAGTCCTTTTTTCACAGCTTCTTAAAATTTGTCCAGTTATATCAGTTAATAGTCATCCGACATCATCGATAACAATGACTCAAGAAAACGCGGTCTCGCTTAATAATCGCAAACGGATGACAATTGTGTCACTGAACATTAAATGGGTTCAGAAATAAATTGCGCCATTTTGCTATATTGCATGGTAATAAATTAGTGAAATCATTGGAAATATAGATAAATATATTACGAACGATTCCCAATTAACTCGTGATCGTAGTGTGCGTTTTCTTGACAGGGTTATTCAATTAATGTCAACAAGATAAAGTTTATAGAGCAAAACAGTCTTTTTTTCAGAGCTTGATGGAATGCGTCCAGTTATATCAGTTAATAAACGTGTTACTACCTCCGGAAAGACACGTACGTATTTAGGTAATTTCATTGCACAAGTATCATTGAAAGGCGCTCATTTCGAAGTCACCTTGTGATTTGATAAGCGTGAATTCGAAAATAAGGCGAATTAATGCCACTGCCATCGCTTCACTTTCGCCTAGACGATAGAAATACTAGGCCGAGAATTGTCTCCGATCACCAAGTCTAATGTCTTCGTGAATGGTTCATTGACAGAGCCTCAATGTACTCGTGAGGTTGTCTGCTTCATTTCCGGTACGTATCTCGAATCGATTTTCTCTATGAAATTCCACTGGAGACAAGCCAATAGATGCAGTCTGCTGTCTTGTGTTTTATGTCATGTGTAAAAGCGATTCAGAGTGATTCACTTTCGAGGAATCCGTTGCAGGAGTTGAAAAATATGTTTACTGCACCACAGTTAGTTGATTGACTTGTAACAATGTTCGATTTATAACAGGCGTAATGTACCATTGACTCAATTTATAAATAGTGAGTTTTATTAAGATGTTCCCACTTAGAAAACGAGATATGAAATCAATTTGTGATTATCGACGGTCGGTAATATTTCTGTGCAAATAGCGAAATTTAGAAAAGGTAGGATGTATGTATTGTTGACGTTTAATAGGGTTTTTCATGGTTAGAATTGTTATTTTGAAAATTTGTACAATTTGAAGAGAAATGCGTGTGGCGTTAAATACATTGTTAATAGATTTTCATTTTCCCACAGGGATGATATAAATGGTAAAGGGCAAATTTTGTTATGAGAGAAGAGATTACCACCAGTTGGTAATATTTGATGTGAATAACAAAATCTGGTATATGTATTTAAAATTAGCACTGATGATTAAATTTGATATTTTTAAAATAATGATATTTTAAAAAACAATTTCTTATGGCATTACACCGTTATCACCAGAGTAGATAATATGTACTTTTATTTATAAATGCTTCGATAGAGAGGACTTTTGTTAATATATCAGATTCATTTTGTAAAACTGTTTTTTTTAAATATATTGACCCTTTTTAGGTGCAAGTTTTATATTTCAGAGTCGTTCTTGTTTACGACTTGCGACACAGAGAGCGACACCAGTTTGAGGTAATAGTAGATAACTGTAAGAAATTTATCTTCAATAAGCTGTATTATAACAAATTACTTTTTCTAGGCCGTACAAGAACAGACGGTAATGTCAGTAAAATTATGTATATAATGTTTCCTTTTAAAAAACTGGTTTCAAAATAATCCTGTGCAAATGTACCTCGACTGATGGTAACATTTTATCCTCCATAAGGTAAAAGGGAGTTCACAAGATGAAACAGATTTCTACAGAAAGTACGTTAAATTTCATCAATTCTATAAAGCATACTTAAAAATGATGTTGAACCTCAGAAATTAGAATATGCTCCTTTTCCACTATCCCTACATATAACATTTATTATTTGATTGGTGTCCAGACTATAGTTACCTTACCGACCTAATAGCGTTCTTCGACATACTTGTTACAACTTCCAGCAGATGGCGCGACGACATCCATTCTAAAAATTCCTTTCGATTCTGCCATAGTACAATTAAATGATTTCCAAAATCGTGGGGGGAAACTCCATTAAAAACTCATTTAGTAGAAGTAAATCGAATGAAATTAACAGTGACGCTGACTGGTAACGAATTTTAGTGTAATATTTTAATCGTAATAATAATGAAGTACAGATGCTTTTATACATTATTTATAGACAGTCAGAGCCATAATATAATTGTTCTTAAGTAATCGACCAATATAATTACGCTTAATCGAATCGATAAGATTATTTATCGACTATAAAGAGATATGTAGAACATGTATGTCGTAAAACCTTACGTGAAAAAGAAGTGGAGCCCCATCATCGTGTTAGGTTAAGATATGTATATATCTATCTATATGCATACATAGAAACGAATGATAACCATAGGCATCGAAAGAAAAACATATACACTCAGGACGTGAACAATCGTCATTTACTTGGACATTTGACTCACCCCTGGATGTATCGATTAACCCTAGATGTTTCTCTAAACCCTGATGGGACGCCATATTGAATAATGTCAAATCGCACGACTCTCTACTGAGTAAATTGCGGTCGGGAAACTATTTTCACATTCAGTTTCGAACCATTTCCAAGACGAAGACCCCTCACTAAGACGAGCCGACTGCAATATATTAAAAATTACAGGGACTTCTTTTTATTACAAAGATTTATCAACTAATGGAAATTTGTACATAACGTCGTATAATTTTGTAACTATACACATCCTCCTTATCTCTCGCCACATCCATTCGATTTCTACACCTAACTTTCTCACCCTCACTTTGGCTTGTCGGACTAAGAATTTTGATATCGGATCTTACGTCCAAAAGTACGTTTATCTCTCTCTTACGAGCTTAACATAGCTTCAACATCTCTTTGTCAGCCATATTGTTAAATACGGCGCACTGTAAAACTCGAAATCGTCTTAAAAAACGCGACCAGATGGTCAAATCTTCGTTCGCTTGGCTTTATTTTACAATACGGCAAGTAATTTTATAAAACAACTAGGCGTTTTATAAAAACAAAAAGCGACACGCCGTCGCATTCTCAAATTCAATAAATTACCGCCTATTTTATATTCCGGTTAAATCATTTCAGTCATTTTATAAATAACGTTTTAATCAAGTATCGATACAAAATGGTGAAGTGTTTAGGATAACGTTTATTATTTTACTCACGTAATCTACGGAGCATACATAAATAGAACAAATATATAGATGAAACTATACTTTATTCCATGTAAGTACCCTGAGAAAAAAATTTCGTTGACCCAAAGAAATAACCATTGTCATAACAAAATCCTGCGATCAAGTACGTCGAAAGAAATGTCAGTAAGAGTAAACAAAATTCGTTTAAATCAACGATATTATTTTTCTTCTCAAGTAAATAATTATTTCTCGCAATTATATATGATTCAGGCAAAGATATATATTTGTTGCAGTCAACTAATCATTTTTCTCCGTGTGGGTTAGGTTAAATTAAGTTAGATTATATAAGGTTACAGAAAAATATGCAATCTACGCTTTTTATGGAATGACTGAAATGATGTACGCCGAACGCAAGACGTTAATTTAATGAGTTCAACTATACGACGGTGTCTTTTTGGTCGTTTTATAAAATCACTACCCAGGTTGTAAAATAAAGCCAAGTGAACGATGATCTGGCGTCGTTTTAAAAAAACAATTAAGCGTTTTACGAAACGTCGAACTTAACAATCTGGTAATATCTCTCTCACTCATACTTTGCTACACCCCCTACGATCGCACCCTCCAAACAACAACTAACAACGGACATAGTCATCTCGATCATCAGCAAAACTAAGGCGCCATCGATTTACTCGTCCTGGAGTACAAAAGTGATCCATGAAGCAAGAAAAAGGACCCGAACATTCTCCTTTTGCACTCCATCGAGTCCTAGAAAAAGACCCCCTAACGTCTTATCTGTATATGTACAAAGTCGTTCCCTCATTCCAGGGTCTCGTCGACGATCATATCGCCGCGGCCGCTGACGGTAAGTGTAACAACGATAATGTCGCTAATAATAAAAAATAATCATTAATAATGGCAATAATAAATAACGCTAGGTGGGTCAATAGACGAACTCGGGGTGGAGTCGCGCGGGAGCTCGTTGAACCTTAATAACGTGTACTTTGAACGAGTCTGTAGGAACTAGCTATAGAGACGAGTGCCTCCCGCGCGCTGCTGATGATGATCCCCGTGTGATCATCCTGGTCCCATCCCGTCTTCAGGATGCGTCAATGGAGTCGGGGGTGGAGGTCCTACGGGGGTAGGACTGGCCCGACTCCGTCGACGACGTGGAATCGGTCGAGGGCCGCCGAAGACGGCGACGACGACGACGTCGACCTCTGGGCTATGTGGAGATTTCGATGACGGGTTCGGCGGTATTGATGTTGAGGAGTTCCTGCTTATCCCTAATCTTGAGATCGTACCGAGGAGACGAGGACTCCTTGGAGTCTACCGGCCAAAGGCCATTGGCATCCTCCAGAGGAGAGACCCCCTCGTCATACTCATCCTTGGATTTGGCTTTATGCAGATTATGTAGACCCCCTGGGAAGCAGGCCGGGTGGGACACGCCATAGCCTTCTCCCCCATACGTAACCTTGCCCATGAAGGACCTGATCTCGTCGAAATAAGCGTCTTCCCGGTCGTTCTCGTTGCTACTGCCCGGGGAGTCAGCAACTGAGACGACTCCACTCCCATCATCAGCTTCGTGCTTCTTCAGGTGACGGTCCAGATTCGTCTGCTGGCCGAAGCACCTCTCGCAGAGTGAGCACTTGAACGGCCGCTGCTTGTCGTGAATGTTGCGCACATGCCGCTGCAGGTTGCTAGAGATGCTGAAGGACCTCTCGCAGTACTTGCACTTGTAGGGCTGTTCCCCGGTATGAGTGCGAAGGTGGCGAGTGAGGTTTGCCGACCTGGGGAAGACCTTGCCGCAGAACTTGCAGGAGTAACGGTCCTTTATTTTCCCATGGCCCGTATGATGAGGGTGGAGGTGGTGGGACATGACGTCCTGGAACGGCTTGACACCTGGGAAGGCACCCATCGGCGGCCTGGCCAACAGGTCGAATCCACCAGGTCTGGCACCGCCTAGTCCGTTCATCAGAGGTCCAAGGAAGGGAACTCCTCTAGGCGGCGCAAAAGGTGTCAGGGGGGGTAAGAGTGCAGAATCTGGACCACTTCCTGGAGGAGGTGGACCTCCTGGGAACCCGGGGAACGCGCCACCAGGTGCTCGATACATGGCTTCCAGGTACATCGGGTGAATGGGTCTGGGGTAAGCCATGTGCGAAGCTGTACTACTGGGAGGCTGATCAACGGGGATGTTCCTAGGAGTAGGGCTGGGAATCTCCTTGGGTTCCGACTCGGCAGGCTCCTCATTAGGGGTGGAAGTCTCCTCGGCAGGTAGCGGAGGTGGAGGTCCCTCCGCTACTGGCACTGGAGAAGGAAGGGGACTCTCTTCCGGAGGTGGAACAGCCTCCACATTGGCGGGTTTCTGCCTCTTGGTCTGCACCCTGAGGTCCAAGGGTTGGTCAGCGGACTCATCCGTGGCTTCGACCCTCCTTTTGTTGTCGATTGGCTTGTCCTCCTTCTTCTTCTCCGTGGACTTCACCTCCCGCTGCTTGTTGAGATCTTCGTCAGGCCTGGTAGGAGACGGCCTGAAATTCGAGGTCGCCTCTTCCGCCGTAGACGGCGATACCTTGCTGTTCAATGGTAGCGCCCTTGACGATGCGAATCGCTCTTTCGCCTTGGACGGGAAAAGCAATGGTGTGTTTAGGAAATTGGATGGACTTGGGAAGAAACCCGAACAGAAGTTCATCAGGTTGGTGCGGTAGAATAATGCTCCTGGTAGACTGACACCTGGACTGGCAACCGGAGGCCTGGGGTACGTCAGGTACGGGCTTGGCACCGATGTTGGGAGCTGATGCATGCTTTGAGGTGGTACCTGTGGTACCGGAGGTGCCGGCGGAATTGGTGGTGCGGGGGATTCGCAATATCGCTTGTGCTTCGTCAGCATCGGCATCGAATTGAAGGTCTGGCCGCACTTATTGCACTGTGCCTTCGTGCGGCAAGGCGCGTGATTCCTCTTGTGACGGCATAGGTTGGAGAACTGAGTGTATGCCCTGAAGCAAACCTCGCAAAAGTGCGGCTTGAAGGTGCCGTGGATGTGTGTATGTTGCTTTAAGCCCGATTTCGTCGCGAATGTCTTGCCGCACTTCGCGCAGGCATGACAACGAGCACCCTCGTGGTAGGCCTTGATGTGCTCCTGGAGACTGAACGTGTCTGGGAAAACCTGCGCCACGAGCGACTTTTAGCGATTTCCCCTCCGAAGCAATCAAACGAGAATAACGACGAAGTTACATGGTAGGTGTATTTATTACCTGTGGACAGTTCTCGCAATGGTATTTCCTCAGATATCCGTGTACGACCACCCGGTGTCGCAGCAAGTGCAGCCGCAAAGCGTAGTTCTTCGGACAACTGTCACACCTGTGCTGCTGGGCCGGGTACCGGTGGCAAGTGACCAGGTGAAGATCGAGACTGTAACAGAAAGTAGACGGTGAAATTAATTTCCACAAACTTATCGATGTGCAATTATCCCAACTCAGTGCTATTTAGTTAGCCTTAGCCAGATACCCTGATGATCAAACCATAATCACAGGCCCTGACTCGTTATCATTCCGTTGCAGCATCCGATGTGCAGCTCCTCGTGCTGTCTCAACTGTTTTACTAAGTACGTCTGAAGAATCTATCCTTCCGATTCATACACTTCTTCAAGATGAGTCAAACTTGAAGTCGACTTACAGAGATGTGAGATTAAACAAGAATGTCTTAACGACACTCCATCAGGAGCAGCGTCAGGAATATGCACCTTCGCTCTCTCCTCCTACCAGATATGTCTATGTACCTTCGCTCTATCCTTCTACCGGATATGTCTGAAGACACTATCCTTCCGATCCACTCACCTCTTCAAGTTGAGGCAGACTTGAAGTCGGCTCGTAGAAATATGGTGACTAAGCGAGAGAGGGCACTCGTTCGCGCGTAATAACCGCGCACGTCGCGCCGCATACCACCTCCGTTACGGGAGGTGGTGCGCCTCGGTCATGGGATGGCATAAGTGTTGGGGCATTGATTTTGCACCCCTGAACGTGTCGTGTGATACCTATTCCATGGTGAGATAGTGCCTACGTGGTGACGCCGTTCCCTGCCAGATGAGCTGCGAGCACGCGACGCTGATGATATACCGACTCGTTGATACCCCGAATGCGGACTTCGCGACCACTCGGACATTTTTACGCAGTCCTCGGGGAAAAAGGCTTCCTGCCGGATGTACGATCCGCCATAGATCGCGTGAATCGAGATACTCCCAACAAGACCCCTAGGGACTTGTCGTTTCCCTGGAATTCTAGGATCGCTTGCATCGCGTCGACATGCGTTACGATGAGCTGTGAATTATTTCCGGATCTTCCCTCGACTCCAATTACCCAAGACGTTTCCGTTTCGACGTACTGAATTGTGCTGTTTAGATCCTTGTCTATAATCTACTACGTTGGCCAAAAATCCTGAGACACTGTATTTTAATTTTTTAAATGTAAACAGAACTTGGCCGACAGTCTTAGATCATAGAAATGGAGAATGTATAATTGACTGACGTTGTAATTCGGAAACTAAAAGCATATCTCACAAAAAGGGTCAAGTCTAAATGGCATCAGTGTTTTAGACAAAGATTTCGAAATATTGTATATTTCATGCAAAACTAAGCCGGAGAGTTGTAGGGCTAGGAACTAAACTACGGTGAAAAAAAGAAATGCATTGAACCGAAAGAACATTTTGTTAACTCAAAGAATAATTATTTGACTGAAATAAGTTCAAATAAACTGTAACAATTCCGAAGTAACGTTGCATCCAATTTATTCTCGTTTATTTGAGTCGAATCCCTTGAACTAACAAAATACTGCTTTGGATCGACGAAAATTTTGTCTCGGGGTATGGATCGTAATTTTTGTATATCTTCTAATTCACTACTATATATTATGGACTATATAAAAAAAAGCCTAATATATGTTTAGTAAAATCCCGGAAAAAATGATGTGACCGCGATGACAAATGACACGTGACACGAGAATGTAGATCTGGGGTCCTATTGTCAAACTTGAGTTGGAGTGAAGATCGCACAATATGCTTGACTGTAGTCATGGATTTAAATATCAATTATTAATTAACTGGTTGAATTTATTCGAGTGTATCTGAATCAAATAATTATTCTTTGGAGTATCAAATATTTCTTTGATTCAATGAATATGTCTTCTCAGTGTAAGGATCGTAATTTCGTATATCTTCAAATTTATTAATACGTATCACGAACTGTATAAAAACGGCTGAATAGATGTTTAGTACAATCCCGGAAAAAATGATGTGACCGCGATGATAAATGACACGTGACACGAGAATGTAGATCTGGGGTCCTATTGTCAAACTTGAGTTGGAGTGAAGATCGCACGATATGCGCGACTCCAGTCATGAATTTAAATGTCAATTATTAATTAACTGGCCAAATTCAAGAGTCGACACTTTTATCCACTTAAAATCTGAATGGGGAGCCAACGCGACTCCCAATCACGCAACCTTTCCCAACGCCCCGTGTATTGACTGACGTCAAGTATGACGCGTGCCGTACAGGACACTAGTGTTTGTGCACCATGGTACGCGATGAAAGTCAAACGTTTTTGATTGATCCGCCATTCGACTTTTGGGGATTTAGTCTATCGTCTATGACCCTCGACCCCTCAAACTTTGAAAAATCTTTCAACTATTTTAGCCTCAGCTTCGAGGACTAAGCATTTTCAAAGCCCTTCGCTCTTAACCAATGAATTTACAAAGGAATATTTCTTTAAATAGTACCACCTAAATATTTTGTTAATACAAAGAATTCAAAGAATTAACAATGAATTGAAGATTGGATGCGACATTTCTTCAGAATTATTGACAATTTATTTGAGTCTATTTTAGTCAAATAATTGTTCTTTGAATTATTAAAATATTTCTTTGGTTCAATAAATTTTTCTTCTCAGTGTGCCCCTAATTAAATAATACGGAATTTTTAATATCTATTTGTTAGTGGATTTGAGATCAAGGAAAATATAATTTAGGGTGAATGCACTTTTTCTGATGGTTATAAAGAGACTTGTACTTACAATTCAATGTCTTGGAAACATTTGTCGCAAACTGGACATCTGGCCTCTTCCTCTTCTACGTTATCTCTGTCCTCCTCAACAGTGCCGCTGTGTTGAGAAGCTGTAACAAGAGTGAATTTTTCGTGATAATGAATAAAATTACATAGAAGATTTAATATTCAATTGTATGGAAGTAATGAATATTTTAAATATGAGTACATGAGAGCGATAAGCATGTCTTTATGAGATGAGAACACTTTTTCATGAAAAATTGAAATTTCATTTGAATATCATTTATCCCCGTTTTTGTGGAAATTATTATTTTCATTTTACTTATTTCTCTAGATGTTACGCTTGCGTGATTATATTATCCGATGGATCAACTTATAAAAGACGACACAAAACCACAAATGGCGTGACGGCAGGCATACAGGGCCAGTAATGTAGGATTCGCTAAATTATTTAAGCAATTACGTACATACCACGACCCTCTGTAAAACAATACAAGAAGGAGGTATCACGTGGGTTGTGTACACAAATTCAAAAGCACATATCATTCTGACTAAAAAAGACATAGCTCGCGATTCCATAAAGGGCGAACGCAAATAACACTTTCAAGTGATATGTTAAAGGAATATTCAATAAAATTTTAACTAATAATCTAAACGACAAAGACCGTAGAAGTAGAATCTTTAGATCAGATAAAAATTCATAAAATGTAACTCCAGCATGAGTTTGAATTTTCTTTTATAAGCATAAAGGATTCGAGGTTATTAAGGTGCTTTGAAAGTGACATATATACCAAAAAGTCAAAATATTTATAAAACTTTTCTCTAAATTGGGTGCACCTAATTACTTGAAACTTTAACACGCGATTGTGGAGGTCTTAAAACCCATGAAATTTCATTTTCCGAAGTACAATGTTGTATTTATCCCGGACAGGAACCAAAAAAACCCAATTGTTGTTCGAAAAATGAAATTTCGCAACTTTCAAGACCTTCATTAAAGCCTCCATAATCACGCGTTAAAGATTCACATTATTCCGTGTACAGAGTTCAGAGAAAATTATTATAAATATCTACACATTTCGATATATCTAGAATGACGCTTTCATCACCTTAAGTGAAAACTCCAAGTGAGGTACAAATATAAACGGATCGATAAATCGATGCTATTTACCCAAACAACGAAGACCGTAAAAATTGATTTTTAAAGTCGAACTGACTGGAAAGAAATATTGCTTAGATGGTAATTTTTGTTTAGCACGAGCAAGTACAGTGTTGAATGGTTTTTTTTTTTTTTTTCGGAGTGTTCGTCGACCGAAGAGAGAAATGCTCAACTACTGACCACCGAATCTCACCTCAGACTACTCGGTGGAATCGCGATACAATGTACGAGCGCGGCGAAGACAATGGACACAATGATGCACCGGTTTGTGCGGCTCATAGTGCCCGATTGCATAAGTATAGATGCACAGACCGGAACCGCTTCCTATTGGTACGAGCTAGTCGGTTCGCCAACCAATCGCGAGTGAGTTCAGGTTCTAACCCCCAGCAGAGCTCACCCCAGATGTCGCGGCAGGAAGTCAAAATCAGGAAGTGGAGAGGAATCGAGGCCGTCAACCATAAAGTCAAAGTCAGGTTCAAGTATAAAAAAATTATAATAACGAATTTCTAAATAATTTCAGCGACGCTGTATCGAAGAGCACACTGTTGACTTAAGGAAATATGAAAATGGCGTCAAAGAGGTCTCGTTTATGAAACTTTTCTCCGACCTGGTTGTACCGAACTGTTTCAAAGACATTGCAATGTGAATATTGAGGCTGTTAGGAAGGTTTTGACAACTATGAATTTTCATTTTTCTATTTAATTTATTTGTAGATATTTAAATACGGAATCGAGGCCGTCAACCGTAAAGTCAAAGTCAGGTTCAAGTATAAAGAAATTATAATAACGAATTTCTAAATAATTTCAGCGACGCTGTATCGAAGCACATTGTTGACTTAAGACAATATGAAAATGGAGTCAAAGAGGTCTCGTTTATGAAACTTTTCTCCGACTTGGTTGTACCGAATCGTTTCAAAAACATTGCAATGTGAATATTGAGGCTGTTAGGAAGGTTTTGACAACTATGAATTTTCAATTTTCTATTTAATTTGTTTGTAGATATTTAAATACGGAATCGAGGCCGTCAACCATAAAGTCAAAGTCAGGTTCAAGTATAAAACAATAATAATAACGAATTTTTAAATAATTTCAGCGACGTCGCATCGAAGCACACTGTCGACTTAAGGCAATATGAAAATGTCTTCAAAGAGGTCTAGTTTATGAAACTTTTCTCCAATCTGGATGTACCGAATCGTTTCAAAAACTTTGCAATGTGAATATTGAAGCTCTAAGGAAGATTTTGATAACTATGAAATTTCAATTTTCTTTCCAATTTGTTTGTAAATATTTAAATACGCAATCGAGGCCGTTAACCGTAAAGTCAAAGTCAGGTTCAAGTAAAAAAAAGGTAATAATAACAGATGTATAAATAATTTCAGGGTCGTTGTTGACTTAAAGCGATGTGAAAGTGACGTTAACGAGATCTCGTTTATGAAACTTTTCTCTGAACTGGGTGTACCAAATCGTTTCAAAGTGTACAATGTGAGTAATGAGGCTACAAGGAAGGTCTCGACACGCAAGAAATTTAAATTTTTAAACATTTGTTTGTAGATATTTTAAACAATTTATATAAAAATTACATTTCATGGCTGTCAAAACCTTCCTTACAGCCTCCATATTCACGGTGCAAAGTTTAAAACGATTCGGTACACCCACTTCAAGAAAAAGTTTCATGAACAATCGATCATTGTGTCACTTTCACTTTTCCTTAATTTTTAGAAAGGACCGCAGAAAGATTAATTGTGAAACACAGTGTCTGGAAAAATATTAATATTGTAAATGAAATCTGCCAGAAATAAAAATTAAACAATGGAGCCAAATCGTGAACCATGACATAAAAATCATACTGAAGTAAATAAATAATAACGGATTTCTAAATAATTCCGGCGACGTTATATTGAAGCAAACACTGTCGACTGATGTTCTAGAAACAAAAAAAGATTGCAGGAACCCAGAAATGTTGAATTTGTTTTCTAGAAAATATTAGTGTTATAACTTGCAATATTTCATCGTACAAAATTTCGAGGATTATTCATTCCTTTTTTTTCGAGTATTCTATAGACGCGATCGAATGGCCCGAAATGTTGAAAGTGGAGATCCAACAGTCAGGGTCAGATCCGACAATGGCATTTACCCTAAAAATACCGTTTACCCTCTATTGCAAAACTATCAAGTGAATCGAGACACGCACAAAGTCACTTCACCGAGCAACGGTTATTTAAATCTCCTGCTACACTTGTCCGGCCATATGGCGTGGCGATGGGCCCCCAACGGACCTTCATGGGAACCAAGCACACCCCTGCACCATCGACTACGCCCCATTTACAATTACCCTTCGCGAAGCGTTAATCGTTCCTCTATCCGAGGCTAATTTCACGCGGCATGCCGTGGATTCGGCCAGGATGTGGTCTGCCTCGAAGCGACCGTTTTCCACACCATAGAGAGTAAGTATTTTCCATAAGTCACCATTTGGTTCCAGCCATGAGATAAACGCATTCGAAGAAGTTTTGAATTCGGGCAAGAATACAAGAAAAATATTCTTAACGAGACAAGTAAACCGATTTTATCTTTTCCACAAGGTAGAGAGTAAATATTCTCCATTAGAATGTTGCTCATCAGACGCCATTTAGTTCCAAAGAAGCAACCTTGAGATTAACACATCCGAAGACAATTTCAGCTCAAGTGAAAACACGAGAAAATAATTTTTAACGTGACAATAAAACCAATCTTACGTTTTCCACATTATAGGAAATATTCTCCACGAGAACTTTGCTCATAAAAATCCATTTAGATCCAGAAGAGCGACCTTGAGATTAACACAATCGAAGATATTTTCACTCGGGATGAGAATACAAGAAAATAATTCTTAACGTGACGACTAAACCGATTTCACATTCAGGATAGGTCTCGACGTGCCCTGAGGACCCAGGATAAGATTTCCGCCCCAGAAGTTCGGATTTAGTCATCACCAGTGAAGTTGGTTTGGAAACGAGTATCGGCGGCGTTTGAAAATATAAAATTGAAAAGAAGAGATCCCTGACAATGGGAAAGCATCAAGATTCGGAAAATCCTTGAAAGCAGCCTCGAGATCAAAGGTGCGCGACCTGGAAGACGCGCTTCAGGACGTGACTCCGAAGTGTCCTTGCGCGATATTCGGCAGACTTCATTATGTTCCAGGACGCCGACAGGAAAGGACGTACGTATAACGACCGGTCGGCGATTCTGGCCGGTCACGTTTCGATTGTCAGCCAACTCGAAATATTATGTTAATCCAAGCCTTAATAAGGACAACGAGGCCTCCAGGCGGCGCTGCCGACGAAACCACGTTGCGGAAAGTCAACAGGTGGGATCCACCTAGAACACCCCCCGCCAAGTCCGTTGCCCTGGGAAAAGGTAACCGAAATCAATGGCCCCATGACGTCGTTATTCATTTCTTTCAGGTGATTTCCGTTGATATCCTCGGGGGAAGTTCCTGATCCCCAGAAATCAGGAGCTACCGACACTAAAAACGGTCAAAGAGGGCCGATAAGTGATGGATTGGATAATTAAAATCAATTTCCTTTGTAAAAAGATGTGTTACGTGAAAAGCATTAAGATGATATAAAAGAGTTATTATGAAAGAATTTCTTTGAATTACTTTGAATTCATCAAATAATTATTCCTTGAATTATCAAAATGTCTTTGGCACTACCCAAAGAAACATTTCTATAGTTCAATAAATGTTTTCTCTCACTGCAGTAAGTCCCGCACTTCAGCTCCTATTATCGTCATCTTATCACTTGGAAAGACGTCTAAGCATCGTCTGTGCATCCCAGAAGACGACGACGCTTCTTTGAGAATCCGCCACGTGCTTATCCGTGCCAAATGAGCGGCATTGATAAGCACTATCACGAGTGCGTGTCCAGCATGAGAAAAGACTCGGCCTTGGCCGCGTGCGAAGATCAAGTCTGATGTCAAATAGAAGCGTGTCATTAGACCGATAGGATGAATCAGATAGGGTTGGATTCGGGTCCCACCTAATCGCAATGACAATCCCCCCTGCGTTGAAACACCGCCCCTCCTCCCACCTAGAAAAAGTGTCGCGTGCCCTTTTGTGTGGTACCCCTTTTTGGACCACGCTCTTTTTTCCTCTCCGGGCGGGGTTTACGCGCGTGTTAATCGACAATGCCGGGTCATAAATTATCGAGGCCCCTAATAGAGCCGTCGAAGGTGAATGCGATGTCGCGGGGAAGCCGTCGTGCCGGAAAATCAACTCCCATAACTCACGGTAACTGCTGATAGTTACCCATAATGAGACCGCGTCGACGGGACTTGCGAATTTCGGGTTCACATGGATCAACATTGCCGAAATCTACTTTTGTCACGTAATTTTGTGTAATTTTATTTTTGGCAATGGACGTGGTTTATTTTTTCAATTTATTTTCAAGGCGATAAGTGCACAGGAAAATTCGGAGACCAGGGAACGGTATCTAGGGTGCTCATCCCTTAACGATAGGATTAAGTGGATTTACAATTGGATAAGCTTTACGCACCCTTCCAGCTTGTGTTCTCTTTGAAACCCGCCAAGGGTGACGAGATGAATGAACAGATTTAAGTGAAAATTACACCTAAGTACCCTTGTGAGTAAAACCCTTGTGAAACTAGCCCGGATTTAACTGTACTACATCGTTAATAGACTGTACTTTTTCTCTCCACAATCCTTTTCGAACACCTCAAAAAATTGGAAACAAAACCTGATACTTACAAATATAGTATACTTACTAACATAAAATATGTTTATATTTGAATATAATGTACTTTATCGTGTTAAATATTTCTAGAATTAATCAATATTATAGATATAAAAGCCAAGTACCACTCACTCACTGACTGACTTATCATAAAAACAACATTCGGGGAATATGTTTCTTTTGTAATGTATATGCTCACTAACAATAAGAAGGGACTTTTTGACATTCAACCCCTAGAGGGTGAAAACGGGTCAAATGAGTTTTTACAAATTTCTTAATATCTCTCAAGCCTGCTGAGATATTGATTTGGTTTTCACCGAAAAAGAAAAGTAGACATACAAATGCCTAAAAACCAATTTCAGGATTTCGCCCTAACCAACCCCTCAAGAGGCGAAAAGGGACAAAATGTGTTTTTGCAAATTTCTACTTGCGCATATCGCGACAGGGTATGCTAGTATTTAATATTTTCAGAATTCCGTTGTATGGCATTTCACCTCACACATTTATATAATAGTCATCGGTGTGAAAATCATCCCTTAGGGAGTTCAGTTAAGCCTGGCTGGCTCGGGGATGGTTTAAGGAATTAAAATAAACAAGTTTTCGTTGATAGCAAACGTGCTAGCTAGTAATGCCCCCCCGGACAGGGAACAATGGCACGTGCCACAATACGAAGCGGCTTCGCTTCGAATTATTATATCTGAGGTTGAGCCGCGATTTGAATGCGCATGTATGTTCCACCCCATGTAGGCGTGTTAAAGCGATTCTCCCCTGGCATTGGCACCGTGAAAAAAATGATCCGTACACGGGAGTCAGAGTACAGATGCCGGTCACAAGGGGTTGAAGGGACGCATGCCGTTTGTTTGACATCGTTATTCCCATTATGGCTCATTTTGGGCTGCGAACTTCCGAAAATCACTTCTGTCAATGGACATTGCCGAGGCTACTGCCGTAAATCACGTAACGAAAATCATAAAAAATTCGGCGACTACCCCCTAAAAAATAGCTGCGCTCAGAACGAAAATGTCCTTGAACCACAGAAATATTTTCTTAATTTAAAGAATAATTATTTGACTCGAGTGAACTCGAATAAATTGATTGCAACATTTCTGCGGAATTATGACAATTTATTTGAGTCAAATAATTATTCTTTGAATTAACAAAATATTTCTTTGGTTCAATGAATTTTCGTTCTCAGTGTGGAAATTAAATTAACTCTTCTGCAATGTTTGTAATTTGTCAGAGACATCTTATATGTAAAAGTTTTTGAACGTGTTAAGAAATGTTTAGTTGTTAATAAACATCATTGTTTTATCGAATCTGGATGTCGAAAAGAGGGTGAATAGCATGCGACAAAGGACGATCGCCATGTTTCATCTCGGATGAAAATTGCTTCGCGAACTAACCCTCCGGTAACATTTAACTTTCTTCCCCTCGGAAGGAACGAAAGTCGAGGGCTTTAATTCCTTAATTAATTTCGGAAAATTAACATCGCATCTGGCTTAATTACTGTACCTTTCGCCTCTAAAAACGTCTCATAAAGATACTCCAAAATCGGCGCGCGGGACATTTAAAACAAGCTGCGGCCGAGCCGCTTCGGAAAAGGTAAAAAATTGTTAAAATCCTACGCTGCTCTGAACACACTTGCGTATAAAAAAAAACGTATAATTTTTTATTACATTTTTCGATTTACAGTGAGGAATGAATAGTCAACTCATATATGCCATAAATTCTAAAATCCCAATATAAACAATATACAAAAAAAATTTGAATGATTAAAAATCTAGAACAAATTATGAAGGCGAGTGCTCGAATTTCCAGCAACCTTAAATCCTCGAAATTCATTCAATCCATCGAAATGGCATCCGTTAATCACCCCTTTTATCTATATACATGCCACACATTCTAAAATCACAATACAAATATTATACAAAAAATGTTTAAATTAATAAAAATCTGGAAGAAAGTATGAAGGCGAGTGCTCGAATTTCCAGCAACCTTAAATCCTCGAAATTCATTCGATTCATCGAAATGACATCCGTTAATCACCCCTTTTACGCGCCAGTAATTACGAGTAAACATTTGCCCGGAACTCTGGGGCCCTTTCCGAAACAGCTCGTGACTTTCGTCGGTGCCGATTAATCCCAACGATTTTCTGTCGGTTGTCCGGGCTCGTATTTCCTTTTTCCAGCTTAGGGAAATCGCGATGGAAATTTCGCAAAGCTTTTCCCAGGTCGATACAGCCCCTACGAAGGGAAAAGCGGGTGGAAATCGTGGATGTCGAGGCCGCCCCAGTTCCACTTTGACAATAACCTCGGTTTTAATTACAGCGACATCTGGGTGTCGCATAACCCACCTCCGTACTCTAATAAAGCCCCGAGATTCGAGAGGATCGTTCAAAAGTTACAGCCAGATAATTGTCGAGCTAGTTGGGGTCGTAAAGGTCCGCGTTTCGAGCCAGTAAATCGCTTTTGTACTGACCGATCTAATTGAATCGCATGATTAGTGGGGGCCGACGTCATTAGAGGTGTGTGAGAGTGACACATGTGTGTCATTAACACACGCCGTTTTAATAAATATGTATCAAATTTCTAGTATTAAAGTTAAGGATGAAAAATTCGAGACTACACGACACAAGTCTCTCAATTATTGATGCATGCCCTGATAAAAATGCCCATTCAAATTGACATACTCAATAATAGATTATTCCGATCCCGCAATAAATTGCGGTAAGATTACATTGTTTCAATTCCGAAAAGTGTCATTGAACCAAGGAAATATTTTATTAATTCAAAGAATAATTACTTGCTTCAAATAAATTGAAATAAATTGTCATAATTCCGAAACAAACGTTGCATCCAATTTATTCGAGTTTAGTTGAATCAAATAATTATTCTTCGAATTTTCAAAATATTCCCTTGGTCCTATTCAAAGAGATACTTCTCTTCCTGACCCAAGGAAAAAATTTCATCGAACCAAAGAAACATATTATTAATTAACGGAATATTTACTTGTCTCAAATGAGCTCAAATAAATTACGTTGCATCCAATTTATTCGAGTTTATTTCAGTCTGTTCTTCGAATTAACAAAATATTTCTCTGGTACTAATAAAAGAAATATATCGCTGGTTTAACGAAACTTTTTTTTTCTCCATGTAAAAGTGCCTTTTTTTCCCGTATGTGTTGGAGGGCTAAAAATGGCGGCATCATTAGCTTAGATTCGATCGGGCCAGAAGGGTGGTAAGTTCGAAACGATTTTCTTCGAGTAGGCCGGTGGAGTCGCTTGCAATTGCAGCGTGGCAGCAGAGGGTCGTTCAGGCAGTTAGTACTCGGTGCGGGAAGATAATCAGAAGCGTGCAGGGGTTAATATGCAACGGGCTACCAGGTGAATCACGCCAGAGTCACGACGCATGACGGAGCGTGCTTCAACGATTGACGATTTTGCCCCTGGCCGTGTGCAATGTCCATCTACCACCTGCCCAGGTTAATGCCGACCGCACGAGCTCGATTTGTATCTTAGCTTTTTCCAAAACCCTTCCTGTCGATGGATGCAACGAGAAATGACTTACCGGTCTCTCGGTCGCTTTTGTCCTCGGTCGTATTATCGCCGAGCATGTCTTGTAGCTGAAGAGGTACTCGAAGACCGAGAAGCAGCTCTTCGCCCACGACGACATCTCGGATTACCTCGTACAGCATCTGAAAATGTAGGTTTTCAATATAACTTTCTCAACATTTTGATAAATTATGAACCGAGGGACCATTCACTGGGGAATCTGTGAAAAGGATTTCTTTCTTTGAGAATCGATTACCTTTAAGGGGATGTGAAGGTGCCACCTAAAGAGTCAATCGTTCATGAAACTTTCCTCCGAACTGAGTGTGCTGAATCGTTTCAAACTTTACAATGTGAATGTGGAGACTATAAGAAAGGTCCTGACCCTCATGAAATTTCATTTTTTCATAATCAATTTTTGTTTCCAATTGATATTTTATGGACCTCAGGATTTTCCTTATAGCCTCCGTATTCACATTGTCAAGTCTCAAGCTATTCGGTATTACTTTACAACGTGAATGTGGAGGTTATAAAGAAAATCCTGACTCTCATGAAATTTCATTTTTTCATAATCAATTCTTAAAATATCAATAAACAATTTTTGTTTTTAATTGAAATTTTATGCACCACAGGACTTTTCTTATACCCTCCGTATTCACATTGTCAAGTCTCAAGCTATTCGGTATAACCAGTTTGGAGAAAAGTTTCATAAACGAGACATCTCTGATACCACTCTCACATCACCTTAAAGGTTAGACAAAGAACCTTCGAAATCCATAAAAGATGGATTCCATATTCGTCGTCACCCATCGTGTCCCGATTCACACGTTCCCCCGAAAGGCACGTTTGCGGACCGCCGGGGGGTGTCACTCCCACAGCGATTTCTGGCCGTTTGGCGAGGAATCGGGAGGCAACCCCTCGGGTCTCTCGAACCCTGGGGTTCGGTGATTCAATGATAACTAAACACCCCTGGCCCGTGCGGGGAGCACCCACACTCTTCCCATCGGGATTGCCGCAGCCGTGTGGTCCCGTTCACACCGCGGGACGCGACCCTGCGAGAGTGGCGCCCTCGGGATGTTTTCTGGGGAATTATAATTCGACTTCGCACTTGACTCCCGACCATGAACGTAGAATCTCTACACCCCGCATACTGACGCAATACACATAGAAAAAATTTCTTGGCATTTCTAATTATTTTAAATAATTTAAGCTGATAAATTCTACTCTACCTAGTGTGCTGCCTAGGAGTAGATTTGCGGTTGAGCGCAATTCTTGTCTAATTACCACTGTATTTATTTCTCCTTTCCTTGCATTTCTAATTATATTTAATAATTTTATCCCATAAATTCTATATAACCCACGGAAATACGTTTTTACGTGAAACGATTGCGCGGCGCAATATGGCGACTGCTTACGTAGTAAAAATTGGAAACTTTGTATGATTTAATAATAATTTATTTAGGATCTGAATTTACAGTTTGGTTTAGGAAGATGTAATGGAAAAGACACAACTACAGGTTGCTTTTTGCGTCGCAGTTTAGCGGAAGAATCGACGGGGATTTTCGGTGGAGGCCGAGGTATAGAAATGACGGTTCGCGGCAGGGGCGAGGGGATGAACTTGATTCGTCGGTTCGAACGTGCCAGGGGGTGAATCGTATTGAGGGAACATATGTGAAATCAGTTAAAAGTCGTCCCATGGGGCGGAAGGAGAACGGCGGCTGCTACCACCGTGTAATAATTATCGTCCTCATCGAACGCAACTGTCGGACTTGCGTGTACGTTCGTTACACATCGCCGTGGGTACAAAAAACTAAGGGAACAGGTACCAAATGGTGCAGGTACTCGTCCGAGACTTACACCGACCATGAATTCCAGGATATGCGGATTTAATCTCTACGCAATATTTTTAAGGAGATGTTAAAATGGCATCCGAAAGCTCAATTGTTCATGAAACTTTACTCCGAACTGGGTGTATCGAATCGTTTCAAACTTCACAACGCGAATATGGACAGCTTAAGGTAGGTCCTGAAACTCATGAGATTTTATTTTTTATAAAAAATGCTGAAAACATCTATAAAGAAATTTTTAAAGAATTAAAATTTTATGGGCTTTAGGACCTCCTTTATAACTTCCATATTCACATTGTCAAGTTTGAAACGATTCGGTACATTCAGTTCGGAGAACAGTTTCATAAACGAAACCTCTTCTCGTCACTTTCACATCCCCTTAAACCCAAGGAATTTAGAAAATCTTTCTCAGAAGATAAAGAACTGACTTTAGTAAATGACGAATAATTTTCTATCTGCGATTTTAGGCAATAGTCGTTTCTTGAATTCGGCCTTCGATTATTTGCAATATAATTAAGGCTTACCTGTCCACCAATGAGGACATGTCGCATGTTCACGGTCTGTGGTCTAGTGGTACTCCTTATATACTTCAGCCAATTACTCTTCACGTGAGATGCATCCAGCCATCCTCGTACTCCATTTGCGGCGATGCGTACCTGAAGCAAAACGACGCCATTTTGGATTAAGGATTTTACTCCTGGAGAAAATTTCTTAACTCGAGTTTAAATCTAGATTGATACCGATTTTATAACATATGAATAAATGCAGACGATTTCATTTTTCAATATCCGATAACTACGTGTATCGTCTAGCACAACGAAATAAAACTATACCCATACTCAGTAATGACAAATATTTTTAAAACCACCACTCATAACCTCTTTACCTTATTTCATTAAAAAAACTTGATAAATGTAAAAAGTTAAGCATTAATCAAAAACTCCGCCACTAATATTTAAACAAAAATTCTAAAAGTGGAGTTCACTTAGACCTATGAACGTCTCGCGTGTTAATTTATGATTTGCAGTACTGTAACTTTCAGACGTTGCTATTTCTTTGCAAGTAGTACATAATGGCACGATGGCGTAGCAAACGTGATACAACGATACAATAATACAAATAGAGGAATCCAGAGAGAGAACACCGTCATGATAACATTCCAACGATAGTCGACCCATCAAACTGTTATCAAATTACAGTATAATTTTTTAACAGAGTATAATAGCCCTTTCGCATCGTGATATACAATAATACAATCCAGGCAGTTTGAAAAAAAACACCGTCATATTGACATTCCAACAAGGATCGACCCATCGAAATGTTATACAATTACAGTATATTTCTTTAACAGGGTATATCGCGAACGTGATACAATGGTACAATGATACAATTAGGGGAATCCAGAGCGAGAACGCGATCATGTCGGCACCCCAACGATGGTCGACCCGGCGGTTCCGGTCCAGACCCGCGATCACACATGACCATTGTCGAGGAGGCTTAATGTCGGCGAATACGCCGCGTAATGTTTAGATCCGGAACATTGCGCTTAACGGGCTGCGGCTTTCAAGCTCCACCCTCGATCTATCCCTCGCTCTTCGGGCACTTTTGGCTCCAGGTTCGACCTACGTCCGCCTCCCTACTTTGGGGCGCGTCAAGTGATTTTTCCGATTGTCTTGCGGGTCCACCGCGTCGCGACGCTTGGCCGACCAAGCGACGCGCCCCGTTCTTCCCCAGGGAACCCCCTGCAGCGGTTCCCGAATGGGAAGCCGGAGGACCACGTGTCACGATAGGATGAAACACTTGCTCCCGGGCTCGTTAAAGCGCCATTAGGGAGCAGGATGCCACTTCAAATGGCGGGAGACAAGTGCGCCATTTTTGAACCGTCTTGGGAGATTTAGAGATCTTTCTTAGAGAACTTTTATGACGTCTTCTGGAGATTACAGTATGATATTAATTACTCGATTTTTATTATAAGGACGAACGTTATCGTTTTATAGTGAACATCGACAAATATGAAGAGATAAGTGCGCGACTTTTGAACCATCTAGGAAAATTTCGATATTTTGTTTAGAGAACATTTGTAGCGTTTTCTGTAAATTGCAGCTTGGTATCAATTACTCGTTTTTTTTTTATAATCCTTATGAATATTATAGTTTTATACTGAACATCGACAAATATGAAGAGACAAGTGCGCCATTTTTGAACCGTCTTAGAAAATTTAGATATTTTTGTTAGAGAGCATTTATGACGTCTTCTGGAGATTCTAGTTTGATATTAATTACTCGATTTTTATAATACGGACGAACATTATCGTTTTATAGTGAACATCAGTAAATATGAAGAGGTAAGTGCGCGATTTTTGAACCATCTAGGAAAATTTACAGATTTTGTTTAGAGAACATTTGTAGCGTTTTCTGTAAATTGCAGCATGGTATCAATTACTCATTTTCTATCATACATACGGACATTATCGTTTTATAGTCTGATATAACAATGCAATGCAGTGTATTTAAATGCATAAATGCGTAATAAAAAAATTAAGAATACACGGCGGAAGAGAAACGTTGATTTAACGTCTTTTCAACTCCACTCTTTAAACTACTTTATTTTACACATTCTGAATGGTAACTTTCAATTAAACACGGCCAAAATGTTGCATAAGTGCTGATCGAACCAAAGACGAGCGGAAAGTGTAATTTTAACGAACCGGAAGACAGGACTTAATGGTACTAATTTTCTGGTAACATCGTTTCTAGCACTCGTTCCGGATTAACCCGACAGGTCGTACCACCTGCCGGCAGTCCTGCGAAACAGGGTGCTCCTGGAAATCAATAAGATATCTCGCAGGTGGATAAGTGCCCGTTGGGTATGGGCAGAAAAGGTAGTCGGAACCGGTGAGCCTTGAAGTACTTTTCTTGGATCCTGATCCTCTATCCGCATACCGGGCCGGTAATCCCCTCGCCTAGGTAAACTCGCGAAAACATCGGATGAGCCTCCTCTTGGTTACTCATGCTTCGACACTTCCCTAGAAACGATTCCCAGCTTTGTCCCCGGTGGTTTGCACTTCACGCCTCGCACTTCACGCCCCACACTTCACGATCTTCCACGGTCGAGAAGACCCTCACCTTGAAAACCTCGAAGAGGGGTCCATCTTTGCTCACAGCTTCCTATCTCAACCTAGTCTCTGACAATAAAAATGTGACAAGGCAAAATATATCCCCAATAGAAACTAAATTAAATAAATATAAATTGGCACGATTCTTACGACCTCCTCTCTATGATAAAAATGAATTGAAGATGGAGATAAAGATTGTTTGAACGTAACAAAAAAATATTTAGAAAGGCAGGCAGAGTCGTGGGATGATTTCAGGTGTAGATCCCTCTGCGCGAAAGATATCTATTGAAAATGAAGATAAAAGGATTTATTGAAACTGAGTTTGGTTATTTTTCTCTGATTTTTTTTTTAAAGGTTTTTGAAAGGTTGAAAGAGTCGGGGGCAATTTTAGGAGTAGGTCTTACATTGAAAATTGAGATAAAAATTTATTCCAACTTTGGAAATAAAGATAAAATTTGAGATGAATGGAGTTATTAGAACTGAGTTCGGTATTTTTGTTCTGAAAGGTTTTTGAAAAGCAAGCAGAGTCGTGGGACGATTCTTGGAGCAAGGAAACTATTGAGGGCACCTAAGGCCCATTTTTAGAAGATGGGCACGAACAGACTTCTAACACGACAGATTAGGATCTATGGACTGCTCACACCTCGACAATGATGTGTTAACTCTGGGACTCTGACAGTGGCGCAGCCACGAATTTGTCCCTTTGTGGAAAAGGGACCGATTTTTCCGGAAAAGGCTCGAAACTTACGCCACCGCGAGCGTCCTCCTCGCAGCGGGTGATCCGCTCGCTTTGTCGGCGTGCGGAGGACATGTGCGGACAATCCGCACGACAGATTTGTCTCCAGAGAATCTCTCATTCCCGTAATAGGCCCCTTCTTCCTTTCGAGCCTAACTAAAAAGGAAACGAATTTCGGGAACGGCGGGATGAAGGCAAATGGCCTCGATTTTCAAAAGAAATGGAATGCGGAAACGCGTTGTTTGCATTTTGTGCGTATATATTTTCTCCATAATTTAATGTCTCGTCAATTTTTTACCATTTTTTTCTCGAGTTTTGTATTTAGACCTTTCAATCAACGCGTATCTTTGTCAAATTGTTGCGGACATGTTGTACAATTGTATGTTCCGCTTGAAAAAGACGAGAAATCTTCGTAATATGGCGGAACGCAAAAATGCGTAATTTCCATTTCTGCGTTTATATACATTTTTTAATATTTTAATGAGCTTTTTTGGATTTTGTATTTAAACCATTTGTTTTTTATCCATTTGTATTTACGTGAAATTGTCAAAAGTGCTGTAAAATTTTTTATTGTGCTTGAGGAAGACTTCATGGCTTGATATGATATGACATGACATGATATGATGAACTTGGGAAATAATAATTTTACTTTGGAACGATGTTAACGAAGTGCCAATGAAAATTTACTAAGGAAGGTAGCATTTCCGCGGCACTTTGCGAATGTCTGAAAACCGAGCTAAATAAAGGGGCAGGGGAACGAGAATGGTGACAGGGAGAGGTGCAGAGAAAGAGAAGGATAGAGAGTCGCCACGCTTGTCGGTCGCATGCGGATAAATTATAATTGCATCATTCTTTGAGCCTCTTTAAAAACTTGGTGGCCTTGCGCCGAGAAATTGCTAAAATTGGCAGAAACGCGACCATTTTAATTACACGAGGTTTGCGGCTGAATTTTCCCTCTTTCTTTTTTCTTTCTTTTTTTCGGTATAATTTAAGCTTTTTCGCGGTGCTTCTAAATGCGCTACGTTGGTGAACTAGAGCTCAACGAGAGGGGAAAAGGAAAGAGAAACGGAAATTACACGAGATTTTCGTTAGAACGTTAAAAAAAAAGTAAAACTCGGTGACACTTTTCTGCAACTCTTGCAAAGCATCCTCGATTATCGGTTTCACGCATCGGTCGCAATTAAAATCAAGCAAATCGAATTTAAAATTTATTATGCCAATTTCGAGGTACCAACACCTTATATCATGTTTCAAAGAAATGTTTCTTTTAGCGTCAACTCCATGTGTTACAATTTTCTTATAGAAAAAATTCAACTTCTTTCGTAAGACCTACGCTCTTCTCCTTGGTCCTCTAAATATCCTTCTTTCAATTAAAAGAAGAAAAAAGAAAGACGCGCAGTTTCAATTTTCCCACTTCTTTTTTCTTAGCTTGACAATCGGTTAAATATTCCTCAAGTTATGTTCAATAATGATCTTCGATTGCTCGCTCTGTATATCAGGAATGATCAAAGAAATCCCTAAAAATAAGCATTAAATTAAATTAAGTATGTACAACTTCTAGCAATAAAACACTCGTCTTGAATCATATTGTTAAACGGAACACAGACTCTACCTATAAAATAAAAATACCATGAAAGAATTAACCTGCAATTGCAAAGCCATTGTACAACAGCCACATTAAGAAAAAAAAGTTGAGTAACTCGAAGGAATATACATTACGATAAAAAAGTTCCTGCGATCAAGTAAGTCCAAAAAAATGTCAAATTGAGTAAACAAAGTTCTTTTAAATCAACGTCAATTTTTCT